ATCACAGGAACTACCTGCACCGCGAGGCTTTGTTTGGTTCTACTGTCATCACGGAGCAGATTAATGGGAGAAAAAGGAGTGGAAAGAAGCTCTCACTCCGGCAGCTGCATCCCTACGAGCAGCCCCTTGCACACGCGTGGCGCCTAGAAGAATAATGAGCTGGGAAAGGGGAGAGCTGCTGTGCAACCGCAACCTGCGGCGATCCAGAGAGAGGTCTGAAGGGACACGGCTGCAGGAGAAGGGCTTTGCATTTGGTCACGCATGCTCGCACTTCAGCCTGCAGAATTTTTGGGTGGTTTGCCTACTCATAGTAGTTGTATATAAAGCACAATTCCTGTATTTTTTTTTTCCCTCCTGCTATTTCTGTCCTCTTTCATCACGGATAAATTAGCATGAAGGAAGCTGATGGGGCTAATTAGTTCCAAGCAGTGTTAATTTCTCTGCTTGGAACTCTTCATTACCCAGTCAGATTGCTCCATCTTTGCAGCTTATATTTTAAAACCTCTTCATTCATAGCACCTAATCCTTTATTTCTTCCTGTTTTTTCATTTGGATCCTATAGTGAAAACATAATTCCACATAATTGGGACATAGAAGTTTGCAATGGAGATTACACATGGTTGCAAGAAAGATTTTGCCTCAAATGGAAATGTGTTCAACAAAACAGTAGCCATGGCAAGACCCACAGAGAGACATACAAGAAGGGTGAATTTAGCAACAAAACGCAATCACCATAACACGTAACGTCAGGAACTAACCTACCTGGCTGCTTTCTCCCAGACTTGTGTAGAACAAGGAATGACTCCGCAGTTCATACATCAAGCTGGAAATTGAGAACAGTGCTTGCGAGAATAAGATACGTTGCCATCAAAGTCAGTCAGAGTTGTGCAGCTCCACTCTAGGCCAACGACTTCTCCCTTGTGTCTCATGGCTTCAAGCATGACCATGCAGATGTGCCTTGTAGCTTGGGCTCACATGCGTTGGTGGCAACTTGAAGCAAGGCTTGCTCGGTAGCTACAAATATAAAACAGTTCTGGCGAGTGGCAAACGAAACTTTTTCATATGCACTAATATTTAGCACCAAAAGTCGTCCTTTTTCTTATCAGAAAAACAAACTTACCTCATTTCCTAGGAAAACGGAGTCTGGGCACACTTAGGGTCAAGGTCCTTGGGCTCTGTAGAGATGTGAAAAAATACCCTGTCATATAGTAAAGAACTGATTAAGAAGTGGTATCGTCACTGACTGGCCAGTGTCTCACCCAACCCTCTTCCTGCCTGGACACTCGGGAACTGCAACTCTTCCACAACGTGTGTTACTGACACCGCTGAGTCACTGCCACCAGCGAGATGCTCCAAACGCTTGCACCCTCTCTTCGCTCAAGAGTTCTGTAGAATTAGGAAACCTCCCCCCCTCCTTTGACTTCTGAGCTGTTATTCTGAATCTTGGATAACGTTATTGCTGTTGCCTGTCCCCACTGCCTCTACAGCTATGCCTGAGATGAGTAATTGGCATGAAGGCAGGTAAAAACTGCTGAATATCAAACGTTTTGTACTGGAAATGAAATCTGGCTTCTGCGGCTCATCTACCTCATTTCCTGATTTTTTTTTTTCTAGGCAGGTTTAGGCCCTGTGTGCGTGGAAACCTCAAGGGGAAACCAGGGGTTAGATTTCAGTCAGCAGAGCCTTTTTTCAGATGCTCCCATAGATATCCTCTTTAAATGAGGAAATAGCAAAGCCGTAAGCTGGGAAGTAAATCCTGAGTCTCTTCCCAAGGTGTCTGGTTGTGTTAGGATCCACTATCGTTCAGTTTTATTTTTCTGATAATCCATTGACAGATAACTCTAACACAGATCAATCAAAAAAAAATAGTTTAAAAAAAAATCCAGTGTATTAGAAGATGGTTCATCTCTGTAGATGAAACAAACACCTCTACCTTCCGTTTTGAATAAATTCAGATGTTAACTGAAGTGGCCTGGGCTTATTTCCAGTTTACAGTAATTCTATTCCACTTACCTGAAACTCTCTTAATACATCTCTGATGAAATGTTTGTCATCTCTCAACTGCCTAACATGATTGCGAAGTGCTACAGGAGCAAGAGTGGTTATGGCAGTAGCAAGTAGAGTAAAGTGATTTCTTTATAGGCAGTGATAAAATTTTCAAGAGCATCCTCCACTGGCACGAGTCTGTTTCCCTGGAATAAACATGGAATTTCCACAGGCTCCGAAGGGAGCTGAATTAAGCAGATGCAGGTGCTTTTGTACATCCCAGAGCTCCCTCATACAGCATAGTCTGTGTTGGTACATTGAAGTAATTTAGATTCTTAGTTGGCTGGAAAGACAGAACTTATGCTCAAGAAAAAAAAATATGAAGCTGGATCTCTAAAAATCAGTATTATTAAACTAGAACAGCGAGAGTTTATGATAAGGGCAATTTTATTTTCATTGTGATGGTTTGTTTCTGGTTTCCTTTGATGCCATATTTTGCCTGATGTTTTTCTGGAAGAGGAGTGGCTTGAAATCTCCTGTGAAAGTAAAGGAGCAGAGAGATGAAGCTCAAAATGCTCCTTGTATTTCAAATAGAGTTTTGGTACAGCTGTTTGGCAAGCACTGTAAATACTTACTGCATTTTATTTCAAGGCTCAGAGGCTTCTTTTATAAGTTTACGTCCTTTATTGCTCCAAAACAGCAGCAAAATGCAACACTTTCCTATCCATATACGATATGTTACTAACTGAATCCAGCCCGGAAACTCCTGGGGGATGTCTGTCTCTTCCGAATGTCCTAACCTCTTGTGCGGAGCTGGAAAGTGGAAGCCACCTTCCTCTTTATTGTAATGGCAGTTTAATGACCAGGAGAGGTTTTTTTTACCCCTGCACCCATGTGCTGTGTTAAATTTATTTCTTTTTTACTACATTATTTAGGTAGCTCATAATCCTTTAACAAAGTAAGAAACATCATAAGTATGAAGCATCATCCTATAAAATGATACTATTCTAGAGTGGTAATTTGGAATCGTGCTCATGATCTGGTGTGCTCCTCCAGGAGGAAAGCGGCAAGCGGAACTGATGCTCAATTAAAAGATGAGAGTAAGAAATTAAATAACTGCAAGTATCCTATTCATCAAAAGACCAAGGATCTTCTGCAGATAGAATAAAAATTTGAAACTATTCTCCAAATGATTTAAGAAGCTGATAAATAAGGAGAGGTTTATTAATCACTGTGGTCTAACCTCATTTAACGGGAAGAAGTGAGGGGGGTTTTGCTAATACATGAAAGTGGGACCCAAAGGTGACAGGCTTTTTTTGTAGTTTGTGGACGGACCTACGCCTCTTGGTTTGTTTCAGCGGATGGGGATGCAGTTAGAAATTGTTGAACAACAGCTTGCTTCTGTTCCAAAGCAATCTCTAAAAAAGGATGCATGCCAAAAGGCAAGTGAAATTCATGTTCTTTTAAAGCAAGTTATCCTGTTGAATAAATGGTAGAACTTTTCTGTTATTCAGAGCTGGAAGATGTCCTAAGATACAGCTCAAATACAATTAACGGTTTCGTTTCACATCATTCTTTTTCCTCATAAGTGAATATCTGAATCACTCACTGAAAAAAGCAACTGCAGACCACTTCTATAAACCCAGTTACAAGTGGGTCGTGCAGACAAATTGAAGAAAAAAGCCTTACTTTCTCCTGGTTTTCTAACAGAATGATATTTTTTTTCCAATAAATCTTCAGCCCAGCACCTAAAGCACCTCATCAAATGGGTGCTTGACATATAGACACTTGACTTCTTTCGGAAACCCCATGTACAAACTAGTTGGGACTGTTACTGTAGGCTTTTCAGGGCAGAGACCTTTAGCATTTGCCCGTCCATAAAATGCTACTTCCACACCCTCACCCCAGCTACACCCACACTCAATCCTTCTTCTTCCCGCTCTGAACTCGAAAGCAACAGAAAACATGAACCTTCGGTCCCAGTTTGGTTGCTGGCACTGGTATTGCTGCCCAAATGCTTGGAAGCCAAGCAAATATGTATTTAACGGGAATTATGAAAATCAAAAAGTACAAGGTTCAACTTTTTGAAAAGCACCTTCTTCCCCCACATCAAAGGGCTCATTGATTTCTTGCTCAAGTTTTGACCAAAGTGGAGCTAAGTGGGTGAAAGGACAGGAGAAAAAGATCAAATCTAATCTTAGGAGCTGCATCAAGCCAGTACTTTACGGTCCATCCGAAGCTGATCATAAGATAATTCTTGAATGTAAATATGATTTAATATGTCTGGCAAATGTTAGGAAACCATCTGAGTGCATTCTCCAGGTGAGAAATAGCTCTTCTTTTCCCTTGCTCCCACAGTATGTTTTTGTGTGCCCTTGTCCTTTGTATTCCTGGAAATCCCAAGTAACTACTCACGTTAATAAAGTGTTAAGATGTTTGACCAGGAAGATTGGCTCTGCTGATTTCAGCACTTAAAAAGGGAAACCGCTCTGTTGTTTTAACCACTTCAACACTCACCATCTTGGTTTATTTTTTTATCCCGTTTAACTGTTCAAAATCAAACAGGAAGCAATTAAGGTGAGCCTACTACAAAGCAGCTCTCAAAATACACGACTGGGTCCCTAGTGAAGAATGAAGGTTGTGCCCTGAAAAAAGTAGTTGGAAGGAATACAGAGCCCATATACCGGAGTGTAAATATACCCCTCAACTCAGGCAGATGACCATGGCCAAGACAGACATTGCTACTAGCACCTTCATAAGGCACCGGTGGCAACACTGATTGAATGGGTAAAGCGCATTAGACCAATGATCTTAGCTACTTGAATTAATACAAGGGGAGGAAGAAACTCAACTCTCTATGAAGGTGCAAAACTACCATCATTTCCTCTCACCTAACACCCCTTTGACTTTTGTCAAGTCATGGCCATGCTGAGAGGGAGAGGGATGTCATGGAAATAAGCATCTAATGACAACAGTGGGAGACAAAGCAAAGTCTTTACACAGGATTTAGCTAATTATATTTTGGGCAAATATTTATTTATCTAAAAACAAAATAAAAATCATTTTTAAAAGAAAAAAATGTATTTAAATAAAAAACAAAACTGTGAAATGTTATGGCACAGAAGTTCAAGACAAGTATAAATCCAGTTGCCACAACTGTTGTGTATTAATGTTGCACATTTTTCTATAAAGACTTTATTAAAAGGTATTTACATGGCAATAAGATGTGTAAATATATACAGCAATCTGGGGACAACTTTTTTGGGGATTCTCATATGAAAAAATGCCTTAAATACAAAATTTTAAAAGAAAAAAAGTTGAAGAGTTCATCCCCAAGCATGAAAATGTCCCATCATCCCTTATGCCCAAAGTATCAATTATGAGGCAGTTTTGAGGTTCTGGCCGAACCCTTGGGAGATTCAGCCAAGGTTGTGTAGTCTCAAGTTAAATCGCACAGCATGCAGTTGCAATAGTTCCATACTCAATGGACTGGTGTAGTTCATGAGTGATATTAGAAACATTAATATTTCATAGTTTCAGTCTAGTTTGGGTTATTCTAAGGGATGCCCAAGAGCTCCTATGCACAAGAGTTCCTTAGCTGCTCGAGTTTGTGTTTCAACTGTTCTCTCCTCCGCCTCAACTGCTCTTTCTCTGCGATCAGTCTGTGTTCGTCCGACTGGATGGAAAGAACATACTCCGTTGCTTTTTTCAGGATGACAACCTTGGGCGCCTTTTCGTTGTTGGCCACCTCGGGTATCTGGTCACGCAAAGCGAAGAAACTCAACTTGAGCTCATTTCTCCTCTGGCGCTCCAAGACGTTGTGCGTTCGCCTCTTGTCGTTCTCTTCTGAATCTGATGTGCGGGGACTTGAGCATTTTCGGTTATTGCTGATCTGTTTGAGTACTCTGCCACTGTCCAACTTTAGCCTTTTTGCAGCCGGGTATTCAACCTTGGTGGAAGGAGGAGCGGCATAATTGTGCTGATGGATGTTGACGTGACACCGTTTGAGAACCAGCGGGCTGTGGTGGGGCTTACTGTGCTCTTCTGATGTCTCTGTGCTGGACTCTGTGCTGGATTCGGATTCGTTCGCTTCAGCTAATGTAACGACATCAATTTCCTCATCTTCCTCTTGTTCTTCTTCTGCAAGGGGGGAAAAAAAAAAAAGACTTATAAGCTGATCTGTGCAAATCGTCTCAAGACTACTGTATTTGTAAGGGAAGGTTACTCTGAGCTGCACAGCCAGGAACTCCTTCTTAAACCCTTACGAAACCCATTTGATGCTGCTGGACTTCACTTTCCCCAAGAGCCTTTCCTTAAAGGAAGCAACGCTTCAAGTGCAATAGGATACATGGACCGCACTCCAAACCCTGGCTCCCTGATTTCAAAAGTTGCAAAAATCTTGCGTAATCCCGAGGAGCGCGTGAAAGATAGCAGGAAAGTTTAACCTCGGTTGTCAGCAGTACAGCGCAATAAAGCTCCCAGACTCAAGCTGCCCTTAATTAAGGATTTAGACAGCTTTTGCCACGCCTCAAAAGCAAGCTTACTTAACACACATGTGTATTCAGAGACATTTTCTGAATCTCTCTTGATCTGCTAATTTGCGGAAAATCCAAGGAAGGGGAAAAAAAAAAAAAAAAGAAGGCTGTAGTGCTGTGAGTAGAACTTTCGAACCAAATTTATGAGGGAGCGGAACACGCCGTCAAATACCTGAGGAAGCATTTCTAAAACTTTCCCAGCCCCATTCACTCCTCTGCAGTCACTTTCACTAGCACCTCCCTGACTGCACATTCCCCCCGCGGCTCTCGGACGGGAGTTAACTCCTTCCCGGCCCACGGGTGGCACCGGGAGTCGGCTTCACCGGGACACCACGCTGGAGATCGACTCTGACCCCGTTATGAAAGCTTCTCCCTTCCTCCTCTCATGTGTGTGTCCCGTCCCCCCCTCCCCCGAAGGGAAAACTGGGCTGGTTTTCCAGGAAAAAA